TGGGCTGACTGTGACAGGCGAGGAGGCGGCGCCGGAGGAGAGCTGGACCTAGCAGCCCTGGGCCCCAGCATTGCTGATCCAGCGGCATCGGAGTAGGCTGGGGCCCCATCGGCGCCGCTGCTCTTCTGATCTCCCGCGTCCAGCGGGTCAATCAGCCCTGCGTACAGTGGGTCACTCAGCCCTGGGGGGGCCTGGCCTAAAGCCGTGTAAGGGGCCACAAAATTTCTGATGGCTGCCCTGTTTGCAGCAATCTATAAAAATGACACAATTCAGAATCCTACTTCAAACATATGTAGCTCTCAATAATTTCTCTCTTTCTCACATCTGGCCTCCAGGAATACTTCAACCCAGAACCTGTACCTGCTACTTCCTCTTTCTTTTGCCAGGGCTTCTTTCATGCTGTTCCCCACCTCTGGAACTTCCTCACATATGCAGTGCTGACATGTACATGAAACAGCCTCCAAAACCCTTCTGTTAGGGAGAAATGTCATGCCATTCTGATGAACCAATAGAACCAATAGGAATCTCAGGAGGGTGGGAGGTTGCAGCAAGTTACAATAGAACCCTGAAGTTGACAAAGATGCGGCTGTACTAATAGGATATAAGAGGATACTGAATACCTAGAGGTGTCTGCACTTTGTACTTGCAGATGTTTTTTTTTTAACAACATAGTCTGTATTAAAGCAATCAACAATTCTCAAAGTCTTCAAATGTACCATCAGATCCATTATTTTGTGGAAGATGTATAATATTCATTAATAACATCTCTTCTACCACTAGATTTGTTCATGACTTCTCCCACCACCACATTTTAATGCAAAGTATTACTAATGCTTCCAAATCCATCTATTGTTTGGACCTTTATTAGAGGAAGGTAAGGTGGTAAGCTCTAAAAGATAAAGCTGCTCCTGCATGACTTATATAAGGTGCACTGGAAGGTGCTCTGCATGATTTATGTATTGTGCTCTGGAAGATATACCCTGCATGACTTATGTACAGTGCTCTGGAAGCTATAACTCCTGCATGACTTATGTACAGTGCTCTGGAAGTTATAGCCCCTGTATAACTTATGTACAGTGCTCTGGAAGATATAACTCCTGCATGACTTATGCACAGTGCCCTGGAAGATAATGGTACTACATAAATCAGTAATTATAATAATGATGATAATTTACACCACAATTCTGCTAATGTTTTTAATATAATGTACAGTTAAGTGACTCCATTTATAAAGCTTGCATATATCCACTAAGACAATATTTGTATCTGAAAACTCTTGTACAGTAAGTGCTATGAAAACTGTGAACTCATAACAGAGTGTGAAGATGCAATCTAAAGATGCTTAAATCCAACATTTCCTTACACATGCCAAGTCTCCAAATTCAGAATTTATTCCAATGTAAATAATTCCTCAGAACTGTAATATTGCTCTTACTGACTCATCACATTTATGTAATAATGGATTTATCAAATGGCTTTAACAGACCTAGACAATCTGAGTGTATCCTTTAACACTAAAAAAGATCTTTGTAATGCGAGAATACAATTTCAGATGCTGAAATTTAAATACTTTTGTCTTGGGGGGGATAACACATATGAATGCACTCAATAGATGTTTTCTTTTAACATGGGCTAAGAAACTAAGGTAGACTCTGACTCTACACTCTATATGTTCAGCCTTATGACCATCTAGTGACGTCAACGGTGAAGTGTTTTACCATGTAAGTCATAGACAGGAAATGAAAAGTAAAAATGTAGGCAATACCTTTTATTGGAGTATATTTTTGGGGTATAAGCCACTGAAACCTTGTCTGATGCAGAAATCTGTTTTCGAAGCTTTTCACTTAGTCAATTTAAGGGAATCTTCACATCATTGCTAACAATGTGTTATATATGCGGACAGTTCTATCTATTTTCTTGTTTCTCCAGAGTCACCTTACTATACCATATCTTGCTTATTAACAAAGATCCTTCAAACTTTTCTCGTATGGTACATTGAAGATTATATTTTTGTTTTTCTAGGAATTTTGAAGCTGACATTTATTCCCATAATGCATTGTTTCAGTAACTGTTGGGTATTTGTATGCTCAGAAACAAATTGCACGGCCTGTTGGGTACAAAACTAACTTACAGTTATATCAAAAGCTAATACATAACCCAAAATATAAATGAATACTAGAATGAAACAAAATACAGTATACTGGGGAACTAATATCAAGTTGATGATGCGTTTGCTGCAAAAAAAAAACATACTTAAATGGTCAATCCACCAAAAATGAATATTTCAGATGTTGACAATGTGTTCTGTCTCTCTTGGGTCCTCTATTAGTGAGATATCTGCGCTTGAATTCCAGGGTCTATTCACCTGCTGTAGCCAAAGTAAAGGGGTCCCACTCTCCATGTTTGATTTTTTTTTTTTTTCACTTTGGAATTATTACAGGGAGATTTTGCTGTTTGCAAGACATATTAAAAAAAGCCAGGGGCTGACTCGACTTATAATTAAAATATCACTTTTGGGTGCACTGCGAAACCTATCACAAGCCTGTTGAATTAGCTATTACTATCTTAAATACAAAGCACTAAAATCCATTGTTCATTTAAAAAAAGGAATTTGTCATTATGCTAAATATCTGTCTTCTGGAAGCTGCCACAGCCTGACTTACAAGGTGCATATCTTTTTCCATGGCAGTCAAATAATGGCATGCTGCTTTCAAAATATCTGCAGCTTGATGATAGATTTATTGGTGGAATTATAACTTTAATTATGTATAGTCTAGAGAAAAAGAATTCTAAATGATTTTGCTTTAGCGGTCATTGAAAATCTTAGACAGTGTACAATGAACTACTAACAAGAATTGTTTTTTCTGTAATGGTCAAACAAATACTAGTTTGTAGCATCATACATACTCCTGGTTTTACATGATATTTATAGGTCCATTTATAATGGTCAACAGTGAAGAAAAAATGGACATTCACCTAATGTCACACATATGCATTAAAGCAATGAATCCCAAAAATCATTCTAATAAAATCAATAGGGTGCTAAGCAAGCTTGTTGAAGACTGGGATACAATGACCATTCTGGTTGTGCCTGTTCTAATCCTTTCATATGTCAGTGACCAATGATGAGTTTAGTGTTGATATATACTGACTGTAGCCAGATAAATGGACAACTTTGTGAGTAGTCAAATTGTATATTAAGGCTTTCATGTGAATTGCTTCTGAATGCTTTTTTTTAACTTTAAATAAGTAAATCATTTAAGCAGGGAGGCATATGATTCTATAGAAGGCATTTAATTACATGTTTTACCCAAAGTGCTTATAGTCACTGCTTAATTAATGTGACATTGCCTAAATGCTTAATAAATCAGAAGTATATCACATTTCCTCAAGGAATACCGGATAAAGAATCACAGCAGTAGGCATGCATAGGATCACAAATCATTCCGCTTCTAGGTTCAATGCCAGCTGTCATCCTATATGAGAGAGCCAGTGCCAAAAAAGACAAAAATATCCTTAGACAGAATCTTGCTGAACTAATAACCTCATCCCAGACTAAATATATATATATAGCTATATATATTATGACTATTGCTATAGATACTTTTTAGTGGAAAACGAATAACTTTCAGAATAATACCAAGATCATAAGAACATTTTAATGCTGTTTGCAATACTTGTGACATTCACAGTCATAGCACGCATTTAGAAGTAAATTTGAATGTATTCTCTAAGGTAGACTAACAAATTAAGCCGTATGATACTAAAAAGCTAAAAAAGAGTAACAGCAATACATTTAAAAACATAGTCAAGTTAAGTGCCCATATCAACTTACAGAATATGAATAACTAATGAAACAATATTACACTGAAGGTGCATAACCTAATAAGTAGTTAGCTGCTATGTGGTGCAAAGAGTTTTAGGAGCAGTTAAAGTATACAAACAGTTCTATGCATAATGCATCAACAAGATCAGTGAAAAGTTATAGGTGATAGTCATATGCAGAGAGAGAGTAAGAATAGTAGTTATATTAAACAGCTATATGGAGAGATTGGAGAATGAATAGGTAGAAGATTTACTGGGAAGACCGGGGAGGATTATGCAGCTATTAGTTATAAAATGTGAAGCTTGGAATTACAAGGATTAAATGTATAACATTAGTTAAAGCATACATAAAGATATGCAAGCTATAGGCACAAGAAGAAAAAAAAGATCAATACTAATATAATTTAGATTATATTAGCCATTAGGGTAAGGAACATTTATTGCAGAATGGATGTTGGGGCAGCTATTCATAAATATTGACATAGATATAGGTTACTTGGAGATAGTAGAAGACGTAGAAAGGAGACATTGGTTATTACATGCATTACACAAGAAGATGGGACAAGACTGATTGGATTAGAAAAGAATAGCATTCCCCTGCCCTCTTGTTTTCTAAAATGCCAGTCTAATTGAGACGTCTGTCTTCAGGTCATTCATGCTCCTATTACCAGTGTATCTTGGACATGTACTGCAAATAGAAGGCAGTGCACTAACAGAAGTGGCAAAGACACAGAACATACGCGCAGTATGCATAAGCAGAAAAAAAAAGCGGATAAGTGCACCTGCTCTGAAAACTGGATTACATGTACAGCGCAAAACCGCCTTACTGAACAAACTTACAACAAAGCAATCTATTTAAATTTACAGTCTACACGGCTAAACAGTACTGTATATGATGATTGTATATATAACGCATGTATACATACACATGCATATACAACTCTATCTATCTATCTATCTATCTATCTATCTATCTATCTATCTATCTATCTATCTATCTATCTATGCTTAGAGGTGACATGCAGCAATTATCAATTTTCTACACATTTTTTCACATTGCATACACACATTCCTCACAAGCAATGTCATATAATGCACTCTGGCAGGTACAGAACTGATACTTAAGAGAAGAAATGGTTAATACTCTGTACATCCAGGCAGTTCCAAGCCCGTACCTCACAATTCCATACATGACCAGGATGTTGCCGAGGAGCCCCACCACGCACACCACTGAGTAAAGAGCAGTAATTGCCACAGCCATAATAATTGAAGCATGGTTTCTGGAGACCCCCTGGCCTGGGACACTGAAGCTGCTGTTGGATGTGGGGGAGAAGGAGAGGTTCTGTGTGGCATTGTAGAAAAGGATGTCTGAGTATAGTATGGAAGTGGATAGCTCAAGCTCCATACTCAAGCAGTGGGGTAATGCTTGCTCTTGCAAGGTTGCTAAGTACAAGTGGTACCCGAGTCTGTGTTGCCGTGGAGACAGCAGGAGAGATGTTGAGGACAGGATGCTCGATCCTCAGCAACTGAAAGGAAAGGACGGAGTGGAAGGAAGAAAAATATTCCTTCTCTCATGAATGCAGATCCTCCTCCACCACCCCTTGCTTTATTATTTCCCTCTCCAACAGTTACTCCTCCTACTCATACATTCTCTGAATCCCCAAAGACATTCTCTGTTTCCTCTAATCATATTTTGTTCCTTACAGCAATACACTCACCTTCTATGCACCTCTTGTGGCTTATCTGAATAATTCTTACAACCTCCAGTAAAGCTTTTCCTCTCACTTTTAAACATATGTATCTCTCTCTGCTTCAATACATCAGAGTAAGAGCCCACTTCCCATTTTCCTATTTTATCTATGTCATCCATACTTCTTCAGCAAGATCTGACTTTCTATATGCAAACTGTCAAAAGAGTGTTAATTATACATATGTCTCACCTTATTCTTACCTCTTGTAATGTTCACAACACCTAAAAATAATCACAGTTGTTTTGTTTTTTTTTTAGCTTTTATACGTTTTCTTTGTGTTAAATACTTTTGCCTTTGCTTCTCATTCTCAACATGTCAAGGTCAATCAACCATACTGTACCATTACTAATTAAGTGTGATATGATTAGCAAAGAATATGTTTTATGCTGTCATAATGACAAGAATCATATTTGCCTTGAAATAAACAAATACAATTCATATAAACAGTGACAAAGCTAATTAGAGTCAGAAGCTGACACCTCAGGCAAATCTTTCACATCAGTAAACAAGATATGATATATATGAATAAGTAAAAATATGCTGGAGAATGTTATATTGAGAGTATATTCAAGACTGTTTTCTATAGTGACAATTAGGGCACTTGCCACTGACCCTAAATGGGGTCATATGATCACTTAAATAGTTGATATTTCAACCCAGCACTACCTTACCATTGCCGTGGGAAAAATAAAGACCCTTATTTTAAAGATGGCTGTTTCCTTCTTTCAGATGGAACGTTGTTATGCTAAAATATTTGCTCTGTACTCTTCTTCAACCATACTGCATGTTGTAGTGTAAACTTTTAAAATTTCTATCATGCACCCAAATCTTTTTGTTACTGTCCAGTAACAGCATCCTTAGTGGCCACCAAACACACAAACATGGCAACTCATGCCCTTAGTAGTAAATTGAAACCAATATTAGAGGGAAGCAAAGAGAGGGGTTTACTTATTAGCAAACGTGTTTGTGTCTGCTCTCAGATAGAGATAAGTGAACAAAAATTCACACCATTGACAGTTTGTAAGTTATGTACCCAAAAGCCACTCTGCTGAAGTGAGATGTCCCCCAATGAATCTAAAAAAAATTGCAATATGAGTTTTAAGTGTTTTTAAAGTCAAAAGGTTTTTAAGCTAAGCCATTTAGCAATGCTGATTAAACCACTTATAATAGATGCTGCTCATTGATGTTTAAAAGTTTTAGTTTCCTTCATCTGGTCCCCTGAACACAAGCCCTAATATCCAGTTTTAGGGTGGCTCCTTTCCCTTGAAGGGTCCTATGCAGCTACCCTTGTGTGTGCTAGTAAGCAGGGTCACCAGAACTAGTTTCTCATCAGAATACAGGCACAGCAAGGCAAGATACTTCCCTGTTCCCGGCTCCCCCATTTTTTTCCCTTCCTCCTCCGCTCACCTTTCTCCAAGCAAGTGTACATGGACAGCTTCTGGAGACTTTAGTTTCCCTTGTGATCTTGTGCAGTACAGGAAGTTCAGGGAAGCCAAGCTAAGAGAGTTTGAGCCAGCTGTTTGGAAAAATGATGACTGTGTTTGGGCAAAATTGTACAGAAATACTTTTCTGGGCAATGCATGTGTGTTTAATCTGGATTCATTATTGAAAATAAGTTTGAGATACTACTTTAAGTATAGTTAAACCCTATGGAGCTACCCCCGCACTGCAAGGGTTAAGTGCTCATTTTGTCTAGGGTCAAATAAAGAGTCCCACCTCACTCCTGACTGAGAAGCCCCATACAATGTTGGGGTGTGGGGGGGATTTGCCGCCAAATACTTGCAAAATAGAAAAATGGTCACCAGCACTCCAAGTTTTCTTCAAAACGAAATCCTTTTATTCATTCATGCAGGCCATATCACCATGCATGACAACGTTTCGGAACCTGTCCGGTCCCTTCATCAGGCAAACAAAATGTTTGCATTTTGTCTAGGGAGCTCAAATAACAGATATATACTCACTTGGACTACGATCCTGGCTGAATCCTAAAATGGTTCCATCAGCCTGTCTCCTTCTCCTCTCCAGCAATGGTATGTCTCTTGGCGTACTCACGTGCTATACACTGTATTGGAAGTGATGACTCACAGGACCTTAGACTGTCAGAGCGGAGGGGGAGAGAGGCTCCAGGGACCAGTCTAACAGCCATCTGGGATACAGTTTGGGTGAGGTTTTTTTAGCTCCCTAGACAAAAGGAGCACTTAATCCTTGCAGTGTGGGGATAGCCCCACAGCAAAGGTTAAGATTTTATTTGCCTAGAGTTCTTCTTTAAGTCTGAGGTATTCATGTTGGGTAATATAATGTGATAGCATGATATCATTTTCTTTTGTTGGTTGACATAATTTGCTATTACAGTGTCATATGTTCTAGCAGCCATTATAATAATTTGATGTAATAGTATGATAATGTATAGTATGCTGTTACTGGGTGATATAATTTGCTGTTGTAGTATCATGTGGATTACATATATGGCATGACTTATTAGGCTCAATTCACAAATTATTTTGTATCTCCATTCTATCTCATGAAACATTTCTCCTAAATATGTTTCATTCACAACCAAAATAATGTTGAGAGCTGTGTTTGTTAGCCTGAAATGAGCTATTAAAGGCAAAACCTTTTTTCTTAGTGTTTGGTAGAGTAGAAAATGGTTAGACCGCCTGTCAAGTTTTTATTGCTGTCTGCCAACTGTCTAAAGGGGAATTCCCCTCATTTTAGGAGATTTTCTCCAATATTCTGTTGTATCTCTGGAACAGGAAGTAAAGGGAAATTTTTCCAATGGCACATTGACAATTAAAGATAAAGATTAAAGATAAAATAATGATTTATGAGAAATAATAAGAATAAGGTTTGTTTTGGCCCAGGGGCTAAAATGAAAAAGAAATGCTCACCTGATTTTTGAGCCTGGCTGGCTGATAGATCAGTCCCCACAGCATCTCTCCCCCTCTGCTCTGGTGGTCTAATGAACCATGCGTCATCACGCCTTTTACAGTGTATTAGTAATGAGGATGCAGAGAGACATTCCACCAAGTCTTTCTCCCCCTCCACTTTGGCAGTCTAATGACCCCTGAGTCATAACATCTAATAGAGTGTATTAGATATTAGATGTGAGGACACAGACAAAGTGGAGGGGAGAGGCTGTGGGGACCGGCCTAGCTGCCATGCAGGCTTGAGTATATATTTTTTTATTTTAGCACCTAGACTGTCATCTGTCAGGATACCGTGCACGGGTGTCCCCACACTGCCTGCAGGTATCTATACGGGAGGATCAAATACGTGACCACACCACACAATGCTTATGAACTTATAGCTTAGTAGACATACCAAAATCATATAAACGCAAGCAACCCCACCATCACCTACAAGTAACATAAAATAGCCAATCTAAATACAAACAGCAAAATCACACACAGACGATAAGGGGGCTAGTGAACCTGGGGAGCCACAGATCAGGAGACCTCAGGGAAAGGAGTCAGGAGTCAGGGTCCAAGGAGGCAACAGGGTACAGGCAAAAGGATACAGGTAATGTCGACAATACTGAGGCACCAGCCTGACTGTGAGAAGGGGCTAAATACCCTCCCAGGCCAGCACCAGGTGGAGACCAATTGCCGACAGCTGGTAGACACCCGCAGGTGAGCACCAGAATTGCAGGTTCCAGCACCATCCAGTGGTGGTCTGGTACCCGACAGCTCCTGGCTGCCTGAAGACACCTGCAGGTGAGCCCAGGACCTGGTTCCAGCGTCACCTGGAGGTGCTCTGGTCCCTGACAGCATCTCTGTGGCCAAAATGAAAAAATCAAAAGGCGCCATAAACTAGAAAACATTTTATATCTTTATTCCAATACTGAGTGAAGCCGCCCAAAAAAATCTTCACATCTAACACTCTTCTAGGTGTTAAAACTGGCAGGGTAAAATTCTTATTTCATTGTACTCTGCAGTAGGTTGATCTGCACGTGAAAATGTTTCCAACCAAAGTAGTTTACATGCCAGGAAAAAAAAACCACACTTATGTCTAATATCTGTGCTGTTTCTGTAAATGTTATTGTACTCATCTTCCCCTACGCTCCTTCTTAACCAGTTGACATCCGCGGTGTTAAACCCCCTTCCCATCCAGGCCATTTTTCAGTATTCAACCATTATTAAAGCCAGCCAACTGCTATTCTAGCCTGACCTAACAGCTGTGGAGCACATGGCATCATTACTTCCCAGCAGGCAGGATTCTATATTCTTCACCTGCATTTAGACTGTTTTGAATTTATGTGTGTGTGTATTACAGTAAAAAGATGCATTTGCAGAAAAGACCCCCGAAATAGCTGCTGGAATGTTGAGTTCTTTTACTGTTTTCAGTGGTGACCTGCCATTAACTGGACCTGACAGTTCACTGATACACCAATAGTGATAAAGGTACTGATTAAGAAGGTACTAATTAAATAGATTTAAAGCAGAAATCCAGGGGAAATTATTCCTAACCTTTGCAGTGGGGCTACTCCAACAAAGCAAGGGTTAAGTGCTCGTCTTTGTCTAGGTTCAAAAATAACAAAGTTATACTCACCTGATCCTCCAAGCCAGCTTGCTGTAGCATCTGTAGCACTCACCCCTAAGGAGCCAATGATTGAATTGGGCCCTCCTAACCTGTCTAGGGTGCACAGTTCTATAGCTGGTACACAGCACTCACTGACCCATCAGTGGTGACCGATTAGCTCACTTCCGCACTGATTATCTTTTTCTTGCAGGGAATTTATTTAATAACTTAAAAAAGGGGGTTAGGACA